TTTTTATCGTTATTATATATGTTTGTTTATACGAAAATTATTCATCGGACGAGGTTCAAAAAATCTCATTTTAAAGATAATTTTAGAAGTTTCCACATTCTAGTTTCTATACATTTTTCACTTCAGAGTCAGAAGTAAATTATTTACAAAAACGTACTCGGAAACACATGTAATGAACGTTTTTCAGCTGTATCTTAGTAATTATTATTAACCGTATACAAATCATTAAAAAACCAAAATGTATGAAATTTAATCTTTTTGATAAGAGCTATTTTTTGCGTAGGAGTAGCTGTATATAAGATATTTCCGATTCATGTATGAGAAAATGTTCTCAGTTTCATAATCGCAAATCAAAGTGCCTAAAAAAAAATAATATCTCTGGAACTAGCAATCCGATCGTACGATATTCAATAAAAAAATTAGTAAATAATTAAATACTCTTTCGATTTTGTCGTACGCGTTTTGTAAGCAGATGCAGCCAAATTTGAGATATTTGCGAAAACAGAAAAAAGAGTGATCGAAAAAAAGGTAGTTTCTTCACCTTCAATTTTTGGACTGAACTGCCAAATGATACCCTATAATGAGATACGAATTACAAAGAAGTTTCAGATTGAGATGACAATTGTTATCATAGCTGGAGAGGCACGTATTACATTTATGTGAAAATCCATTTTTTTTTACATTCAAAATAAATCGATTTATAAAATCACCAAAATAAGTATGATGTTAATCTTGCCATTGGAAGTGGTGCACTTGCATACAGTTCAATTGCACACATCACTCACATCGATTGGTTCGTAGTAATTTTTAACTGTTTTACCAATGAAATTATATTATTTAAATTAATCAGTTAGTGATATGGCAATTGATATATCGACTGGTTCATACCTTCTTAAAAAACCAGATCTCTTATCTATGATAATTCGAGAATGGACTTTGATTCTACTCCTCTTAGTTCTGATAATAACTGTCACCTCAATTTCAAATTTTTCTGTAATTAATGTCTCAATAAAGATAAATTTGGGACATAGTTCAGTTCCAAATCGAGGACCATAAAAAGCGATTTTTTTCGGTTACTGTATGTAATATTCGAAAATAAGATATCCTTTAAAAAAATCTATCTCTCAGGGAATTATTGGTCGTACGAGATCCTTAAAAAATGAAATTGTAGCGAATTTTATCAGCTTTAATTTCGAACATTAATTTCTACACAACAAATAGTTTCTGAGATATTTGCAAAAAAAAACTGATTTTATGCGACATTTTCTCAAAATGGCATCATGGCCAGACATGCCCTCATACAAGGCGAATTTTTATTTTTAAAAACACCACTATTACAGATCTCTATGCAAAAATTCAGCTTGCAGCAATTTTTTTTCTTTTTCTTTTTTTTTTCTTTGGTTTTTCTAGGCTAAAAGATCTACATCAAAATATTTTTTATAACTATTTTTTATAAATATGTAATTACCTGAAAAATGGTCTGTGTGAAAGTAACTTAAATACTAATGGTGATGATATCTGATAAGGGATGTTAGCAACGCACAAATCAAAAAATGGTAAATCTGATTTCAATACATCTCCATACACTATTTGTAATTTTGATTGGTATATACTTCCTTGAACACGTTTTTGTAATTCTGCTATCATTCTTGAATCAATTTCGCACGCTATTACTTTTTTTGCTTTCTCGAGCATTTTTATAGTCATATTGCCTGTACCAGGACCTATCTCCAATACAACATCAGTCGGCCTAAGTGCAGCTTTTTCAAGCATACTTTGAATAATTAAAGGATTTTTCAATATATGCTGACCTTTATCCTTATTAAATAAAATTCCTACAAGAAACAAATATGTTTTTTACAATAATTTATCATATATTATTTATTATTTATTAATATAAATATAATATTACATAATATAAATATTAGTTTTTAGTTCTTTTTAGCTGAATTTCTTTCTGTTCAATGTGAAGAAAAAAGAAAAATGAATCATGCAAGAATTTTAGCTAAAAAAAATAGACCTCTAGTATTAATTTATATAGATACATACAATTTTGATAATTATTTAATTTAGACTCCTTACCTTCAATGTTGAATAAAATTAGGCTCATTCGACGCGTTTTTGTACTAAATAAATGAATGTGGAAAAAAAGTGTCGCTCTACTCCGTGGATCCAGGTATTAGGTGTTTGAATAAGTTTCTGACATTTTTTTTTGCAAAATTTTGCTTTTAAACATTTGCTAACAATGATTAATCAAAATTTAATACCTCTAATAATTCTTTCAACATTTGACATGGATCTTGCTCAAGTAATGTTTCCAGTTTCTCCATTTTTCAATTTTTTGTTGCATTTTCACGTTCTTTATCTTTTATCGAAATCATCACTTCTAAAGTATTGAAAACTACTCTTGGATGGAGCATATTTCCTATACATCTTCACAAGTAAACAATACTTTTAGTTGCACTTTTCTAATAAACAATAAACAATGCAGTAAAAACTTTCTGTAAATGCTGTTTTGTTGGCACAAAAATCGATATTTTCAATGCAATGACAAAATGTTTACGTTCATCAAATGTCATATACTAAATATGTATATGAAATCTTGTGCATACTATATAATACTCTTAAATATAACAGTTGCCACTGAAATTCTATACATGTAGTACTCGTGACATCTCTTAGAAAACATGGAAATTTATTCAAATAATATTAACTGTTAATTTTTTTTAAGTGTTTCTCGGATGACTATTCAGATTAGGAAATCTATCAATGGTATAGATAGAGGGACATAAGAACATTAGTTGCAACATAAGTTGCAATCTAGACAATAAAAAGATCGCTTTAAAAAGACTGTTCTTACATCTCATCTTGTCTTCATGGGTTAGAAATATTTCAAGCGGACACTATTTAGGTTGCAACTTCTAGGCAGTTAAATCCCAAGCGGGTAGGACATATTTTGTTTTTGTTCGGGGCCTCGATAAACTATTGTTTATACACCCCATATGACAGATTTCCTAATCTCAATAATTGTCAACTTTAATGCTCAATATCTCGCTTCGCAAGACAGTTTCGAACTTTTTCTGCTAGATTCTTTCATTTTACGCAAAAATACACGTCAAATGAGATTAATTTTATCAAAATCGGAGATGAGGAAGAATTCTCTTTGGAGAATTACCATTCTCTGCTTTGAAAACACAAATTATTTATTGTAAAAATAAATTCTCTATTGTAAAAAATTTTTATAGAAAATATTTTAGGTGATGTGGAGAAGGGGGGGGAGCTATTCTAAATAATTAATAATAAAAAAAAAATTAATAACAATTTTCTAACATGAATATCTATCAAGTTTAACAATTAATATCTCGATTCACGGGACAGAATGATACTTTCTTTTACTAGATTCGTTCATTTTGTGTAAAAACGCGTCGAATTTTATAAATATAATTTTCAATATTGGAGGTAAGAAAGCTAAACGTAATAAGTATCAATATTTTTATGAATATATACCTTGTCTCGCCACTTCCGTGTGGACACGAGAAGTAACTTGTGTGCGAACTTTCGGCATTATATGCTTTATTTTAGAAATTAGATGAAATATTTGAATTATTATTTATTCAGTAATCACATGGCATCACATAATTCATTCACTGATAGCGTTTTTCACTGGACCACACTGAGCACAGATTATATAAGAAAATACTGGCCTAGTTTCCACCGAGGGTTTAATCCGGATCAGAATGTAAGAACCAATCAATTACAACTGAGCATTCTTTGTCGTTCGACTGTAACAGGGAAATACTCGACTGTAATTGGTTAGTTCTTACATTCTGATCCAGATTAAACTCTCGAAAACTAGGCCACTTAGTGCGCACCAAAAACTCGTTCAGTGGTAGCAGGATTGCACGAAATTGCTGAAAGTGCGAGTTTCTTGCAACTAAATATTATACATCGTTGACTTCAGGATGAAATCACACGGTGCGGAAAAGGTTTGCGGGATAGAGAATGCGTTATAGAAACAACTAATCAGCGTTATTCTGCATTATTCCGAATAGCGCTGATTGGTTATTTCAATGCATTCTCTATTCCGCAGTCTTTTATGGATTCACCAATAATTATTCCTTATGGGTTTCACTTGTCCTAATGGGGCAGATTTTTACAATAATCAAGTCTCTTGGATCAACTATATTTAAAAACAATAATTAGAAATTCAGAACAAGGATAATGAGAATCTAATGCTGATGTAAGAGCGAAGAGGAATTGCAGATAATACTCAAGTATTGGCGATTATCTTCATTTATTGTATCGAATGTTTCGGCTCACTTTGGAATCATCTTCAGTGAAAAAGTAGAATGTAATACCTCGTTGAAAGTAAGTCACTCGCAGATTGACAGAAATGCAGTAATCAATACATCATATAAATTATTACAATTTTACTATTAGTTCAATAATTATAAAATCAGTAATAATTGTGTGACTCGCCTCAACGGGAAACAAAAAAATTCATAAACATTGATTCACAATTTTAATAAGATATAAAATAAAACAAATCGTTCCTCGGATTAATATCGTGTCAGTTCATCTTGACGTGTCGTTTGAAATTAAACGTTACAAAGTGATAAGAGGACTTCTAAACAAGCAATGACAACTTAATTTATTTCTAATATCACAGAATACAAATCTTTTTGATTATAAATTGTTTTCCTGCTAGGACGTTATATTGGGTGCTGGTAACTCGGAACGCATCCACTGTGTTCCATTATGTAAAGTACTTGTTGGAACACTACTTGTTTAGTTAGTTTAGTTTCATAGTGTTAGTAGCACCAGAATGCATTTTTTCATTCTATTCGTATAATTATATTTAGCGTATCGATAATAGATTTATGATTTTTATTTAGACTTAAGTATTTATTTAGACTTAACTTATAATTTTTTTTAAATTGACAATTTTTGAAGGTTTTATTGCAAAATAAGTATGGCTATCAAATAACTTTTTAAAAAGATGGTAACATTGATATATTTTACACGGAATTCATTCTGACATGTTCCATGATAGGTACCCAGGGGCCTACTACTGTCCTCTGACAAAGAGGATGTAAATTACATAGCATAGCTAGCATTCACTTTTCTTAGGATACATCGTCCATTTTTCAAAGCTAAAGATGATAAATCGACATTTGGTTCATAGAATCGTACTACATACAGCACGATTATACGAACCACATATACACACATATATATATATATATAATTGATGTACCTTAAGAAAAGTGGACGTTGCTATACAGTTTATATATCCACTTTGTCAGAGGGCAGTAATGCGCGGCAGCATGTGGCGTTGCAAGCTTTAGTTACGACGCTCGAGTCAATTCTTTTTTCCGATTTTACTTTCTGGTTTTTCTCTCTCTCTGTCTCTCTCTTTGGTGTCATGACGTTCTGCGTGCGGATCTTTTGTAAATCCCAGCGATAGATTTTAGCACTCGGTAAGATTAATAATCACCCTATGTTCGCTGCGAGATCGGTTACTGCTCAGATTAGATAATTACTCACGTCGTCAGATAAATTCTTATATTATAGATTTCTTAGTTTCTCGTATTCTGACCTAGTAATGCGATACCGATATTCGAGCTGTCATACGCACGCAATCACGTCTCTACTTTTGTAATCTGTACGTTCTAAACAATTATTGTTAGTCGGCCCCGTCTCGAAGACGGGGCGAACATATCACCTCACCCACAAATATGCGACAGACTACTATCCATCATTCAACGAAACCGTCCCGAAAAGGGCGATGAAAAAACACAGCGCCTGCAGAAATTTTTTGCAGGAATGAACAGTTTCCGCGACGCGTCTTGAGTTCTGGGTTCTCGAGGCACCTTCCGCTCACGGGGAACTACGAGGAAGTCACTCATTTGCGTCTCGTCCCCAGACGCACATCCTGATCCTGTAATAAAGTGTGTTATTATGTTTCCCTAAACTGCTCAGTGATGCGTGTGTTTATTGTGACGATATACGGATTTACTTTGTTAGAGATACTCCTGTGATGAGAGGATGCAGATCTTCCTTGACTCAGTTTTACACTCTTTGAGGACATCGGTCCAATTTTGATGAACAGTCTCAGAATCTAGTCCTCTTTCTGAGGTTGCTTTAGCCATAATGATTCTTTAGAGAAGTATTTGAAATGCTTCGGCATTTGACACTAGAAATTGTATCGCCTCAGGTAATTTCCATTCGTTATGAAGAACTGTATCCCGTAAAACAATTCTTTTAAATACTGGATACTCTAAGATGAGATACCAGACTATGTCTTCCTCAGATCCACATTTGCATGAGCTTTATTCAATAAGCCTATCCTTCAATATCCTAATTGTGAAAGTTTCGCATGGAAGTTATGCCCAATTAGAACTTGTATAAACCAGTAGTTGAGCTGAATCCATTTGATCTGAAGCCTTTTTTTTGTATGTTATTGAAGAAGGTGAACGTCACTCGACCTTTATCGAGATTTCCCACCTAATTTGCCATATCTTTATTATCTCTTTTCTTATTATTTTCTTTACGTCTTCTGTATCTTTTTCGATATGGTTCCGTTTATCTCTATGTCCTTGCCCTTTCTTACTTCGTATAGGGCTCTACGCTCATTTAGAAGTAGAAATGGGAGTTTGTCCTGCTACCACGTAGAGTGACTCCCATGACGCTGTGCGGTATGCGCTTGTATATGCTATAAGCACTTCGCACTGTACAGCCCTAAGAAATTTCTTGTCCTTCACAGTACACAGGTCGGCCCACATATGCGGCCACATATGCGACCATCGGGATGAATCTACTCTCCGGTAGAAAGCGTTCTGCATTTAAGATCCCATAGGGATATTGCCAGATTGCCAAGTTTGTTGAAGACCCCTACTTTACTCTTTATACTTGCAATGTGATTCGACTTGTATACTCCTATCGAAATGAACAAGGTACCTGAGTCTTTGAATCTGATTTTTGATTCATCTATCTTAACAATGGGTGGTCTACTTTTAAAGTTTACTCTTCTTCTCCTGTTCTTTGGCCTTCTGTCTTGATGTACTCCTCCCCGTCTATCAACTTGAGCCCTTCTTAATTCCTCGCTTCTGAGCAAAATTGCTTCAATCTTTCGCTCGGAGATTTGAAGTTTGACCGATTTACACCATTCAATCTGGTCTACTAATATCTGACTGCCAGCTTCTATCTCCCTTCGGGAGTTGCCGCTTACCCATATAATAAGATCGTCTGCGTATACTACGAAGTGATCTTTACCTGTACTTTAGCAATTTATCGAACATTAAGTTCCAGCAAGTCGGCCCGAGCACTGAATTTTGTGGCAACCTCTTGTTGCCCACTTTGATACTTTTGTATCATCTGTCGGGATGCTTACTCGCCTTTTATCGAAATAGCTTCGAACAACTTCGAAGACATTCTTAGGGTATTTATCGGAGACTTAGGCTTTATCGGAGATTGCGCGAGTCTTTAGGATTCTTGGCAGGAATTCCTCGTCTTCACTTGTCAAATTTACAACAAGAGCAAAGCGCAATGATCGCCAGGGATCGCTCATCAGAGGGATGGACTGAATGCATCTGATGTCTGCTCCTGACCGGCCGAAAAGAATCTCTATTTGTAAGCGGGCTACAGCGTCTGAGCGCACTTTTGCTAAAGCTTGTCGACTGACGGCAGTGCATAGTGTTAGGTATGTTTGGGTATGTAAGAGGACTTATTTTCGTGAAGGGATAATATGTATTGTTACACCTCCCCGGAGGTGTAACAATACATATTCACTTCTCTCTGTCCTCAGGTCCTTTTCACCCCTGTCCGCTCCCTCTCATCCCGCTTCTCTGTCCCTGCCGCTTGCGTTAGGTAGAAGTGACCCTGCGTAACTTCCTGCAGATCCATCTCAATTTTCGATTTCGGCTTCGGGTGTCTGGCAATGGCGGACTGCGTGTTGCACACATCAACATTAGATCGCTCGTTCCATATCCATGTTTGGGGAAACTTGGTTGCGGAATTCGACCGAGTTTGGATCCATCGATAGATAACTACGTGCTTGTTTGCTCGGACAAATCCATAGGCCGCCGCGGAGATGGTATCGTGCTATATATTAATGAGTCTCTCCAATTCTTCCCGATCGGCTTGGGCGTTCCGCCAGTGGGTACTCTCACTGACACTGTTGCTATGTCTCTTCATCTTGCTCGCGATCGGTGAGTGGCGGTCACCTCCGTATATCGCCATCCGAGTGCATCATCTTCCGATTTGCATTTTATAGAGTCATACTTATCCTGTGTGACATGTATAACCGATGCAATCATATGCCTGGATAATTTCAATGTCAACATACTTGGTCAAATTGACTGTTACTTGCCAAACTCGATATCGCATCGCTGTTCTTTTTAGGCAATTAATTTATGCTCTAACTCGCTTAACATGTAATTCGGCAATCTCCCTCTTATTTTTGTCTCGTTGAGCATTATTGTAATTGAATGCGGAGTTAGCAATGCGATCAGTATGAGTGATCATCTTACCATGTGACGCTGGTTATTCCGCGACCACATCGCCCTGGTCGTGTGTCTGTCTCACGTAACATTCATGCAATCAGGCTTGAAAACATCGAGTATGAGCTAATAGATTGGTCCTCTTTATATGCAGCGTCGCAT